AAGTTTTGCGAAGATAGTCTCTGTCCACATGTGACCTAAAGATTTTAAATTTGGCTTTGAAGCATGCTTGGGTTTTTTTCCTTCCGACATTTATTCTTTTTCAACAGATTACATTTTGCAATCATTTGGCACGGATGAAATTTTACAAATTGCGGGGGTCGTGCTGCACTTTAACAATATTGATTTAAAACTGGTATTTGTTAAACTTAGCAAGCCTGAAAAAAAAGCGCCTGCGATACTGTATTCATCAGCACCACTGTTGTAATATTATTAAAAATGGTGATGAATAGGCGATGACATGCCAATTGTTAAGGAGCTGAGTCAGGTTGTTGCAATAAACATTGCCCGCATTCATGCAATATCGCTTTTCTGCTGGAATTAAAACAAATGATTGCCAAGTAAATTAAAACATGATGACGAATTGGCGAATGATACTGTTTAGTGACTGTTAGCTGGCGTTGCGGATACAGTTTGAATAACAGTTGGACAGCTGAGTAATGCTTGAATGAAAACTGTGACACCATCAACTGCTGAGTGCTGACTGCCTTACTTTCAAAGCTAAAAGCTGTAACGCATCGTTAATAGCTACGATGGTATAATGTCCAAGCTATAGTTTTTGAATTGTTTTCATGAGAAAGTCGGAATCGAGAAGTAATTTTCGACTGCGAAATCTCAGAAGACAATTCCCCTAGTGTTGCTAAGGAATCTGTCCCGCTGTTAGCAGTACACACCGTTGCTTTTTCAAACTAAATAAGTTGGACTTCCTAGTTTGCTGGATATTTTTAGTGCATTCATCGAGACATCGCAGCTCGAAATATACTGGTGACAGGTCAGCGAGCGATACGAATAGCGGACTTCGGTCTTGCGCGAAAGGACACAACAATATATCACATCCGAAACAGCCAGAGTGTACCACTGCCGTTGAAGTGGATGGCGCTGGAATCAATCATTCATTCCGATTTCACTGAACAGGTTGATCTATATTGCCAGTTTCTGCACCAAATCGATGCGCATTTGACGAATAATGAAAAACAAACGCTAGTTATGCGTTTTTGCCGTGCAGCGCTAGAGCGCTGCAACAGGCAGCAAAAACGCATATTGGA